GATCCCGACACCTCAAGCTCGGTGGATCACTAGCCTGGCGCCTGAGCCAGCTCGCCCACCGCGCCCCCGCGCCCCCGCCCGTATAATTCCCGCTATACAAATCATACTACCCGATGACTCCGAAATGGTATATATCGATGAAATTTGAATTCATAACGTCCTCATGGGTAGCGTGTGTGTGCCTCACAATGTTATTCCCTTTAGTACTGTAAGAATCTATACGAGAGTGTCTTTCAGCAGTTCCCTTTCCCCAATTAAAGGCCTGGAATCTACATTCGTACAGGGCAGTCCTTTATATATATTCATACATGTATGTATATGTACATGTGCGTGTGTACGTGCGTGTGTATATATGTGTATCTTCAACAAATGTACAGCTTTGTGCACATATTTGTGTCAAATTTGATTTCTATTTGATGTACAACATTTCTGTTGTGACGCGACTTGACATAATGGTGTGTTGGTTCGGGTTATACATACTTAACATAATATGTGCGTATTCCTTTGGAATATAATTACGCTTTTTCAAAACCTACAACGCAACAAACTATAGATGGTAGTTATCGTGGAAATCGGACCCAATGAAACCCATGGGTAGGCGTAGCTTTCACCTTGTTGACAATGGTATGACTTTCCATGTAAATGCTTTTAATGTTATTGTGTTTATATCTCGTTTTATGCATTTACCACAACTCTGTTAAACGAAAACAAAACGACCGAACACGTGTCTTTTATGACGATGCCGCCTTTACTGTACACGTATTCATACGCAAGCCCGTCTGCTGGTGGGCCCATACTTCGTCTAAACATATAACCAATCTCAATAAATGTACGATACACTGAAAATAGTTTCTTATAATTGTATAGGCATCCATGATAGCACTAAACGTAAGAAACATTCACTAACAGTATCTACTGTTTGCAAGACGTACATTAACACAAATAATGGAAAAAAATATCAAAGAAGAATTTTATCAAAGTAATTCTGGAAGTGAAGCTATACTGGGTGTCAATAATATTGACTGCAAAGTCCTGAACGAAAAATGCGATGATGATGGCAATGTGCTGATTGTTAAAATGGACATTGACGATTATACGTTAGCTATTGCTAGCATTTATAATTGTCAAATACAGACGGTTTGAAAATGTATGGAGACCCGGACACCACAATTAGAACCTTCGATAGGGATCATATAGTTCTGTGTGGAGATTGGAATATTATTCAAGTTAGCTCAATGATGTAAATAACCAAAAAGGTAGAGATAGAATTCTACAACAACTTAACGAATTAATTAAAAAGATGCAGCGCGAACATAATCCCTTCAGTAAAAGATATACTTTGCGAAAACCCACCCCTTTGAAACAAGAACGCTTGGACTACCTTTTAATTTGCCATAATATACTGCCTTCTGTTATGAAAACGAAAGCAGGACCTAGTTTAAGACCCGACCATTCATCAATATCACTGACGTTTAAACTTACAGATCTTAAAAGGGGAAAGGGATTTTGGAAGTTCTCTATTAAAACACGAAATGTTTGTAACACTCGTTAAAACTACCACTGAAGAAACAAAACAGCAGTATAAAATGTTAATGACATAACAACCGAAGTTAATATAGATAATCAACTTGTCTGGGAAACATTGCTTCTTGCGATAAGAGGTAATACTATACAATCTTCATCCTGCAAAAAGAAACAGCAACATATACGGGAAATGGAAACTGAAGGAAAACTAAACTTTCTGACCAATCAATTTAGATACAGTAGATGAACAATCAGCGAAAGAGAAATCGAAAGTTCCAGCAGAAATTAAGATAGTTAATACAGATTAAGAAGAAAGGGTTAATGGTACGGACAAATTTACAAAGGATGGACTGACTGACTGACTGACTGAGTTTGGTTTTACGCCGCTTTTAGCAATATTCCAGCAATATCACGGCGGGGGACACCAGAAATGGGCTTTAACCACTAGACTGCCCCACCGCCCACAATGGATGGAACAAGGGGAAAAACCAACAAAGTATTTCCTTAGTTCAGAATCAAGAAGCTATTTAAATGAATTCATAAACAGAATAGAGCAAGAAGATGGCAGAATGATTGAAACACAAGAAGATAATTATACCAAAAGAAGTAAAATCTTATTCCTCAAAACTATACTCAAAACATGACATACTAAAATAGACCTTAGGTCGCTACAAAGAGAAAACTCCTAAACTATCTGATGAAATAGTCCGGGGGTTAGAAGGTGAGCTGACCTACAATGAGATACAAGAAGCTGTGAAACACTTTAAAAACTGACAAGAGTCCAGGTCCTGATAGGTTTACTGCGGGATTTATCACGTTTTTCTGGAACGATCTTGGGAAATATCTTTAAAATCGTTAAATGGAGCTTACAAAAATGGACAATTATCAATATCACAAAGACAGGGACTAATAACGCTACTTCCAAAAGGAAATAAAACCAAAACAGTACTTGAAAAACTGCCGACCGGTAAGCTTCTTCCAGTTCCACAGGATACTAAGCTTAAAACTTTCCCAAAAGGATGTTCCGCATTCATTTGGGGAAATAAGCACGACAAAGTAAGGAGAAACGAGATTATTTGTGAGGAATATACAGTCAGCTCTCGTTAATCCGACACTTGTGGTTGCAGAGAAATATGTCGGATTAACGGAAATGTTGGATTAATGAAAATGTCGGATTAATGTATTTGTGTGAAAATATCAATGTTTACTAAATGTCATGATCGTCATACTGTTGCATGCATATCAGAAATGTATATCTAGTTATCTTCATCGTACGTAAAAATATTCACAGAAATAAAAAATACTAACAATACATACTTGTTATCATTTGTTAACATTCGTAGATGGCATAAAATACATATATAATCACATAAGCGAACCGCATATCAGCTGCCATTATGACCCGGATGTTGAATATGTTACAGTTTCCATACAACTAATGCCACAATAACATGTGGACGTCTAATGTACAATCAAGCGTGTATCATAACATATATAATTTATAACTTGAAAAAGTCTTTGATGGTCATTTACATCAAACACGTCTAAGTGGTGTGTCAGAAATGTTTGCAAAGTGTTCAACGATGTTTTGGCCTCAGATAGCTTGAAGCATTGGAATCAGTCGTAGAGACGCTCAACCACTAAGCAGACTGCTTCAGTAAGCTGGGCCCCGTCTCGCATATCGCAATATAGCTTTGTCGAACGTTAGCGCGCGCAAAGGGAGCCGGGAACCAGCTTTACTGCTTCAGGAGGTCAGATTAAGCTGGGCCCCGTCTCGCATATCGCAATATACGAACGTTAGCGCGCGCAAAGGGAGCCGGGAACCAGCTTAGAGGTCAGATACGGTTGATCGTCCAATCTTCATATCAAACTTCTGCTCATCAAAAGTGATGACTTCTTATTGTGTTGGGAATGTATAAGGAATGGCTTGTAAATAGAATTCGTTTTATCAAGGACCTTGTAGATAATAAGGGACAATTCAGGTAATGTGAAACCTTCAAACCGTTTTCTCCTTGAAAACTAGCCGAGAGCCGCGATGCGGTCCTATACAGTCAAGACATGACATGCAGGGTCATGTCTTGACTGTATAGACCGCATCGCGGCTCTCGGCTACTTGAAAACCAACTTTCTAACTTACACACGTGTTATTTAAGCGGTTAAAAAGTTCTGTCGAAGGCAACGATTACCAAAATCAAACACTATCCTAAAATCTCCCTCTCTACCATTTCATTTATACCATTATTCATTTTACGCAGTCTCTGAAGAAACAAAATCAATGCTCACAATACTTATTAAAAAAATACGCGAGAGAAATAATCACTTCGCCAAATGGGGTACGTCCTTGGACATGACATTAACGAACAAGATAGGAAGAACATCAATTCTATCCCGTTTAGTTGCACTAACATGACTGAACTACAGTGGTTCCAATATCAAGTCTTACACCATATCTTGCCAACGAGCTGTCTTCTCACTAAGATAGGTTGTGTAGACAGTATAAAATGCAGTTACTGTTCTAAAGAAATGGAAGATGTCATACATATACTGGACAAAATAAGTTATGGATATTTGTAGTTTTATGATTGATATTTTATCAGTGAGTCAGCTGATAAATAGATCAATATTCATAATTTCAAAATTGACATATATCCCTAATTATTTTTGTCCCGTATATATTCTGGGAATGCCAAAAAAAAATCGAAATAAAAAAATAACAATCCTTTAACCGTCTCATTACCCCGTCAAAGCGAAGTATTTTCAATATTAGAAATAACAACTACCCACCAACATTCCAATTCATTCAAAAGGATCTCTCTGAATTTTACAAGTTAACAAAGTATACATCTGTCATTAATTAAAACTACTTCAATAAAGTTTGGTCAAACTGCCAAGCATTATTCTCTTGAATATAAAACATGCAAAACCGTGCAAATACTTCAGATAAATAAATAAATTATAAAAATGTAATAAATAAAATACTAAACGTGTCCCGCGTAATACCATGTACTAAATAAATATATTTATTTGGATTTAACTCGGTAACGTCGGAGCTGCCCGGAGGTGCCGAGCGGCGCTCGAGGGATGCATGTGCTACACGGATTCTTTTTATCCGGTGTCAATTCCTCTCTTGCAAGCTGAGCGTACGAACGCACCCACCCACCATCCCAGTGTTTTAAAAGAACTCTTTTACTTGTTTTTCCATTGAATATTTTACGGAGGATTTATGATGTTTAAACGTAACATGTCACGTTTTATCAGTCAATCAAACTTGACCTCACCCCAACGCTTGTGTTTTCATTCAACCAGTGTTAAATTTATGAAAATCGTGCATGCTATTACACGGGCTATTGTTTTGTCTTGTTATCCCTCTGAAGAGAACGTTGAAATGTGTAAGAGGGGAATTCGTGCTGTGTCATTCATATCACGTCACCTGATACCAAATGATAAAATGTTGGATGTTGTACTCTTGTGGGCGTTTCTGTTGTAGGACGGAGAATTCAGTGTAAAGACACTAATGAGTGACTAGAAGTGAAGATTTGAATTTGATTTTCAACGAAATTAGCTGAAAAAAGGAGCAGCATGGAAGATGGTCAATCACAAATGACTAATAGTGACATCGAGATTTTGGGATGTACACCACCAGAGTGCAGAACAGATAGTGGTGGAAACACGTCATCAGGCATGAAGGATGTTGAACATAGGGATGTTTATGAAGAGAATTGGGGCGAATTTGGTGATGACACAGACGAGGAAGAAGGGGATGGGATACAAGATATGTCACAACTTGGAGCAGGTGCTATAGCGGTCAAATTACAGACTGTTCATCAACAGTCATACCAACTTGTAGGTAAAGGTATGTGTCATACTAACTTGTAGGTAAAGTTATGTGTTATACCAACCTGTAGGTAAAGGTATGTGTCATACCAACTTGTAGGTAAAGGTATGTGTCCTACCAACTTGTAGGTAAAGGTGTGTGTCATACCAAATTGTAGGCAAAGGTATGTGTCATATCAACTTGTATGTCAAGGTTTGTGTTATACGAACTTGTATGTAAAGGTATGTGTCATACCAACTTGTAGGTAAAGGTATGTGTCATACCAACTTGTAGGTAAAAGTGTGTGTCATACTAACCTGTATGTAAAGGTATATGTCATACCAACTTGTAGGTAAAGGTATGTGTCATACCAACTTGTAGGTAAATGTATATGTCATACCAACTTGTAGGGAAAGGTATGTGTCATACTAACCTGTATGTACAGGTATGTGTTACACCAACTTGTAGGTAAAGGTATGCGTCATACCAACTTGTAGGTAAAGGTATGTGTCACACCAACTTGTAGGTAAAGGTATGTGTCATACCAACTTGTAGGTAAAGGTATGTGTTACACCAACTTGTAGGTAAAGGTATGTGTCATACTAACTTGAAGGTAAAGGTATTTGTCACACCAACTTGTTCTTAAAGGTATGTGTTACACCAACTTGTTGGTAAAGGTATGTGTCATACCAACTTGTAGGGAAAGGTTTGTGTCACACCAACTTCTGGGTAAAGGTATGTGTTACACCAACTTGTCGGGTAAAGGTATGTGTCATACGAACTGGTAGGGAAAGGTATGTGTTACACCAACTTGTTGGTAAAGGTATGTGTTACACCAACTTGTCGGGTAAAGGTATGTGTCATACGAACTGGTAGGGAAAGGTATGTGTTACACCAACTTGTAGGGAAAGGTATTTGCTGAAAGGGGGTTACGATTTGAGTTTTGTGATCTGTTGGGTTTGAATTGTAAACGACTTAACAAATGTTAACAGTTTTCTTGTTAAAACAATCCATTAATATGCAAGTGATAAAGATAAGTGTATTGTGTGAACTGTCGAATCTCAACCGCTCAGTATTGTTAACAAGTGTTCCTTTACCCACTGTAAACCTAATGCCACTTTTTCCATTAGTATTGTAGGTATCATGATATCTTATAGTAACTTTGTGAGAGGTATTATGCTCAACTTATACCAAGTGGAACCGTCTGCACTAATGTGTAACACACCGTGCATGACAGTGAGTTATTTCTTACGATTCGGGTGAGCTATAGAGACAGCTGGCTCTATTTTGTCGATCACTTGAAAGCCCTGTGGTAACAGGAAATACAGTCAGAATCTTTTATAGCCATGTGAGGTTTAGCCAAGCAAAGGGAAACAAGGACAATTCGAGGAAATTGTACAATTGTTTACTGGTTACCCTAGTTAACTTACCTGTATGTTATGACGAGGGGAGGCTGCATGATCATGTCATGGACAGACTCTACTCTGGTGAGTGGTGGTGAAAACAAGGTTGTCTGACTGAACGGTACACTCCTGATTCCTGTGTTGTGTTTATAGACAAACTCAAACTACATTGTGTGTGTGGTATGTCATTTTAACAATGTTAGTATTCACATGATTTTTGTTTGTGTCCTTTGAGATCCAACTCTGACCTGTTTGTTTCCTTCGTAGATACAAAGTCTCTAGCACAACAAATTCTGGGGCGTTGTCAGCAGCCACAGGGAGAAGTATCAACAGCACCACAGCAACAACAGCAGCAACTCCAACCAGCTTCAGGTGGTGATGCTAATGAAAGAACAGGTCAGGGACATCTGTCCACAAGTACAACTGGTGTAGCTCCTGGAATAACAAGTCTACAGGTCCCGAGAACAGCAGCCCTGACACTAGCGTCCACGGGTACAACTAGTCCACTAGTAGCTCCTGGAACAACAAGTCCACGTGTTCCGGGAACAGCAGCCTTGACAGCAGAGTCAACATCGTCTCTTCTGCCCAGAATACAAGGATCTCTTGTATCGCAGATACAGTCATCAGGGATGCCTGAAGTACCAATAACTGGGGATTCTCCTGCAGGTGGGTGATTTTATCTGATATTGTTGACCTCTTCAACGACCAAGTAAGCTACCATCTCATCTGACCAACCACTAGAACCCTACTTATCAGCAGAAAAGATCAGATCATTTACATTTACCAATGATTCATGTTTTGTCCGTTCCAAATATCTCCTAAGGTTTAGGCATGGTATGTATTTAGCTTTCAAGCTATGGTATCTATGTCCCCAATGTTTGGCAGAGTGTCCATAACCATACACAGTCCGTATGGACGCTTCTTTGACGTCAGCAAAAGTCTTTGTCAAGTTTTATCTAAGCAATGGTAACTTGGCAGTCGCATTTAAGAAAAGCGTCTGACGTTATCATCTTTTTTCAGAAACACTAGTGGTATCTAAGGTCAAATATTGAACACATCTGTAAAACCTGCAGTCATGTCGTTTCTGTTACAGTCACACAGTACAACTTTATCCAAGTACAGCAGCAGTTTGGAGATGTGACAGTGAAGGGAGGCAAGAATCTGAACATTGGCGGAACTCAGAATGTCGGTACAACTCCGACCAAACAGGAAGAAGAGGAGAAACCACTGACTGCAACACAGAAGATCAGGAGTGAGTATTTTAGTATATTGCTGATTGTCAATAATGGTGGCAATGTTCGATTAATCCGGAATGATATGATCAAAGTACTCACCTCTAAAGGAAGTACTGTAATGTACAGTCAACTCTCGTTAATCCGACACTTGTGGTTGCAGAGAAATATGTCGGATTAACGAAAATGTCGGATTAATGAAAATGTCGGATTAATGTATTTGCGTGAAAATATCAATGTTTACTAAATGTCATGATCGTCATACTGTTGCATGCATATCAGAAATGGTAGATCTAGTTATCTTCATCGTATGTAAAAATATTCACAGAAATAAAAAATACTAACAATACATACTTGTTTTCATTTATTAACATTCATAGATGGCATAACATACATATATAATCACATAAGCGAACAGTTTCATAGTGTGATGTTCACTGACGCCGGTGTCAAGCAGCCAGTAAGGCACACGCTAATTACCACTCGCGTGTGATTGTTTGTATACGGTCGGATCATCCGACCGGCTGTGTTGATTGTCGGATTAACGAATGTTTTTACCCTGTATTTACAATAATAAGCTGCTAGATTGGTGTGTCGGAGTCGGAATGCGAGAATGTCGAATAACGAGAGTAATTATCACTGTTTTAAATGGTTCCCTAATTTTTTGTCGGATTAACGTGATTGTCGGATTAACGAGTGTCGGATTAACGAGAGCTGACTGTATATGCTGAATTTCATTCAGTAGATTGAACCTTGAAAATCCAGGTTAGAACTGGTTGTCAGCAACCCATGCTTTCCGATGTTTTAAATGAATACTTCTGATATCAGTCAGGGTTGTGTTGTCAGGCACGCACTTTATATAGTTAGAAGTTAAAGCTGCTCTGTTTTCAATGTTATCCTTTATCGTTGATTTAAGACCGATAAATGTAACTTAAAAGCCGAAAGCGTTAAACATTTAGCGGCCTCCAATCAACGATAAAGGACCGCAAACTTGAAAACAGAGTAGCTTTATCTTCATTTTAGCACGACTGATAAGCATTTATTATCGGACTCTTTTTCATGGAAATCGCTTGGAATCGTCCAGTCGAGGGACAGGTTGTGTAATGAGCAAAATAAGACATTTTCAACAACATATAAATACTTTATTTCAGGAACCAATTGCAATATGCTTGTATTTGTAAAAAATAGAGTTTATACTGTGAGCAGGTACAATTATTTGATTTTTGAGGTATTTTCAGACAGTTGCACGCAATACAGCGATAACTACTCCCTTGATGTAACCCGTGTTTGGTGGTATAAACCTTCATATGTTATTTGTCATCATTCACTTGCTGGTCAGTTAATGAATTTATATCAGGTATAATTAGTGGTAACACCACTCAGATTACCTAACAAAGGTTCCCCTTTGGCATTTCTCGTGTCTGGAGTAAGTGCTCATCATTATAAATTAAGGTCTGATGTGGCAAATGTATTTCATGTAATATGCGTATGGAAGTGCAGCAAGAGGAATTATCACTTGAGTTACAAAAACAAACATCGAGCAAAGGATTAACCGATAACATGCTGATTGATTAATTGCTTTCATCTTACGCAGCGGGATTGTCAAAAGGTAGTGTTTATGTATGTAGATTCACTCATCTATACTGAATACACCCTGTCGTAGAGTGCTTGTGTAAAAACAACGTCCTTCCTTCAAAGGATTAACCGCCAATACGTTGATTTATTGCTCATTATTGGCTAACTAAATTACTTTTTTAAAGAATGGCGGACATCATGCAATTAGTTACCAGGTGTGCTATCTTGGGTGACCAATGAGACTATACACCAATGTGAAACACCTGAAACAGGCACGTGACCAGTTGAGAAACTACCACTAGTTATAACGATATATCACTTTCACATATTAGACTGTTAAAAGACACATGCCATGGAACTGGATTCTTTGTCAGCTGCAGATGAATGGCATATCGTTCCTTTATGTGGATATTGATGGGTACATTCTTCAAACAAGGTAATAGCCTGACATTGTTGCTATAACGTTAATCTTTTTTAATTTTATGACTAGCTTTTTAAATGAATTTAGACAAAGAGTAAATGATATCCAAATCCTAATGTGGAGACATCAGCTTTGATCTGTTAGTGACTGTGTCGACATATCAAGGAAACATTTGAATTTGAACGTTATCTCTGTAGGATAGAAATAGCTAAATATAGAATAGCCTTAGCACGATTTCGATTAGGTTCTCATATGTTATTGGTAGAAAAAGTTAGATATATCGAATAGAATATGTCCTTTTTGTACCAGTTAGCTGGAAGATGAGTATCATGTTGTAATGGTTTGTCCAAGGTATGTAAAATATAGACAGTTGTATCTAGATAAGAGTTTGTACCAAAATCCGAGTATGTACAAGTTTGTACAATTTGTGAAAAGTAAGTCTGAAAATAATCTTAAGTTAGCCAAGTTTGTCTATCATATCCTTAAAGAAAGAGGTAATTATGAAATGTTTACTAAGACAAACTAATGTTTCCTGTTTTCAGTATACTGTCACCAGGCAACAATTTTGTGAGAAACGTGCCTATAATATTATTGCATTTGATGCCAACATCCGATTACATGTACGTTTGTAGGGCTATAGTTTGTAAACGTATGTGTAAAAAAGAGTATTTTAAAAATTACCAAGTTGCTAATGATATATATTTATATCCTTGTTTGTTGCTAACATACTGTCACCAGACAACATTGTTATATTTAGCTTTCATTTCCATTGGAGATGTGCCTATTGCATGTGAAGTATTGAATTGTAACCTGTAAATTGGCCTCTGGCCTATTCAGAAATAAATTCAAATCTGTTGACCAGTCTATAGCTGCACTATCAATTGCACATTGGGATGGCCCAGCAGAGGTCACGAACCAGTCACAAATTCTGGGATATCATCCGGGTACTCACGGGAGAAAAACAATAACAAAAGCAACAACCAGTCCACAGAAATTGCTCTGGATCAGTTCCCCTTTAAGTACGATTTTGAAGATCTCTCATCCAATCAGAATCGAGTATCACACACAATGTCGTGCTAGAATATACACAACATATGCACAAGGAGAAATATACACATTGCGGGTATTTATATATTTCTCCTTGTGCATATGTTCTGTAACATTTGCTTGATAACGGTGTTAGGATCTACACTGAAACGTCGTATCCACTGCAACGAAGAAGTTGTCTATCCATAAAAGTGTTCCTCTTCATCATACCAGCTTATTAAAGCCACTTAGGGAAGTTATTTCAACATGCCCACAATTTGTGATGTTATCTTATTAAGAGTATCTTTTATAAGGGACGGTGGTGTTGCCTTGTGGCAAAAGTGTACACTCGTCATGTCGAAGATCCTTCTCTGGAGTAAGATGTTTAAATCAAATCTTAAGTTTGTTCACTTTTACACATATTTTATCTATAAATGTGTTAAATGTGCCTTGTGTCCACAGAAAGGACGGCATCCAGGATAGAGTCATGGACTGAAGACATGGTGGAGACAGACACCTTCAAGAAAGTGAAAGAGAAGCTGGACAGAGGAGCCACTTGGGTGACAATTAAAGGAAGACCAGGAGAGGGGGAAGTCCACAACCGCCTACATGGTTCTCAAAGACCAGTACAGTCAGGGGAGACAAGTATACCAAGTGGTGTCACCAGATGAGTTCAATGAGGTCATAACAGCCTGCTCTAACCCTGTCATTCTGTTAGATGACATATTTGGTGATCTGGAATTCAACGCTGCAGAATGGGCCAAGTGGAGACCAAGTCTCCGACCTGTTGTGGATGTTAAACATCCTGATAAATATGTTGAAAAATATTCTTTGGACATTTCGACCAAAACTAGAAAGGGTTTAGAGAGGACAAAAGTTGATCAAAAACGGGTGAAACAAACAAGTCCAAACAAAGACAAAACTATCATTATCCTCGTAGGCCGTGACTATGTGCTGAAATCCTCATTGGCAGACTTGGGAAGGATGGAAGATTACATTTCCAGTCCCCAATACGTGGTGGAAGTTTCCTCACAGAGAGACTCTTATGAGCGAAGGAAGATATGGCGTGTTCATGCTGAAGCAAACAATATAGACTTTGAAGAGTCAGTTGTGTCTCAGATATGTGAGGCAGACTGTCTACACGGTTTCCCCCATGTATGTAAAATGTTTGCGACAGCATATGAAAAGGACTGGACTCACCTTCAGTTGCAAATGTTTTTTCAAGCACCACTTGATTTCCTCAGAATGACCTTGGATAAATGCCTTCAAGATATGACAAAGCGTTCACTGTTCCTGGCTATGATTAAAAGAGATGGAAAGATTAGTGGGCAAGAGCTGGAAGAGGATGACGGTCTAGGATATGAATGCATAGAAGCTGCTGACGATTTGGTTGGATCTTACCTCAAGAAGGAAGATGGCACCTTCATGTTTGATCATTCGTCTATATATGACTGTGTTTCCTTTATTCTCAGTACAAAACTGTCGAACTTTGTTATCGAAAATTGTAGTTTGTTTTTTATAAATCAACGACTTCGTCTTGCACCCCTCAGAGAAAGAGAGAAAAAGGTTGCTGGAGAGACAAATCTTGTTGCAAACATCTCATGGACTTATGCTGGACATTTAGCTAGAAGATTTGCAACTGAAGTCGAAATGGGCAATTTGTTGCATGTTTTATCACACCAGGCATTTTGTAATTCAGACTTTGTTGACTTGCTAATGGACAGCCTGAAGACACACTGTCGCATGTCTGTTACTGATATCGTGAAACTAACTGATAACTCATCCAAACAGTCATTTTGTGAATTACTTTCCAGCAACAAGTCACATCATCTCATCAAATATATTATGGAGAAAGAAAATATCTCATTCAGCAAGAGTGAAAGTAGGGACATTTTACTGGGTGTGTGCACGAATGCTGCGAGCAGTGTACTGAAATACATCAGCGGGCGTATGGAACTTGAGGTAAATGCTAACTACGGTCAGAAGAAACAGACGCCGCTTATGTTAGCAGCAGAAACCAGAGACAGCGTGTTTGTCGATCAGATTTTGTCTCTTCAACCAGACCTGAATGCAAAAGACACGCGTTGTCGAAGTGTGTTTTCTTATCTTTGTGGAAATGGCCTTTCGTCAGCTGCGGAGCATGCGATTAACATGGGAGTGGAAGTTAATCAGGATCATGGACCTGTGGAGCACCCTATATACTTTGCCATAGCGAATGGTCACTTAGAAGTGGTGAAAATGTTGATTAACAGAAACTGTGATGTAGATATCAAGAAAGGTCTTCCGTATGCTGTATGGAGCCTGAACGCGGACATTTTACAGTATTTCTTCGACAGAGGAGCAGTGGTTGACGGCAGTGTTGTGTGCTTAGCTTGTGAGGTCGGGAACGGAAATATAGTTGAGATGTTGTTTGAGAAGGGTGCTACTGTTAATATGGTGTCATCTGATGGAGAAACTCCACTTTTCAGCGCATGTTTAGGAAACTCAACAGTTGTCTCGTATTTGCTGAAGAAAGGAGCAAGTGTGAACCAAGCTTCAAATCAGACAGGTGACATACCACTTCATAGAGCATCAGGGCCGGGATCTACAGAGTGTGTTGATGTGTTACTGAAGGCTGGAGCTGCTGTTAATGTACATAATGATGCAGGTGACACACCACTTCATGCAGCAGCAGCAGCATCAGAGTGGTGTTCTACAGAGTGTGTTGATGTGTTACTGAAGGCTGGGGCTGATGTTAATGTACAGAATAGAACAGGTGACACACCACTTCATACAGCAGCAGGACGGGGATCTACAGAGTGTATTGATGTGTTTCTGAAGATTTCAGCTGATGTTAATGTACTGAATAAACAAGGTGACACATCACTTCATATGGCAGCAAGACGGGAATCTAGAAAGTTTGTTAATGTGCTACTGAAGGCTGGAGTTGATGTGAATGTACAGAATAATAGGGGGGACACACCACTTCATAGGGCCGCAGCAGGACGGGGATCTAGAAAGTGTGTTCATGTGTTACTGAAGGCTGGGGCTGATGTTACTGTAGAGAATAATACAGGTGACACGCCACTTCATAGAGCATCAGGGCGGGGATCTGCAGAGTGTGTTTCTGTGTTACTGAAGGCTGGGGCTGATGTTAATGTACAGAATAATACAGGTGACACACCACTTCACAGGGCAGCAGCATGGCGAGGATCTAGAAAGTGTGTTGATGTGTTACTGAAGGCTGGAGCTGATGGTAATGTACAGAATAATACAGGTGAGACACCACTTCACAGGGCAGCAGCATGGCGAGGATCTAGAAAGTGTGTTGATGTGTTACTGAAGGCTGGAGCTGATGGTAATGTACAGAATAATACAGGTGAGACACCACTTCACAGGGCAGCAGCAGGAAGGGGATGCAGAACTTGCGTTGATATGTTACTGAAGGCTGGAGCTGATGTTAATGTACAGAATAATACAGGTGACACACCACTTCATAGAGCATCAGGGCGGGGATCTGCCAAGTGTGTTGATGTGTTACTGAAGGCTGGAGCTGATGTTAATGTACAGAATAAACAAGGTGAAACACCACTTCATAGAGCAGCAGGACGTGGATCTGCAGAGTGTTTTGATGTGTTACTGAAGGCTGGAGCTGATGTTAATGTACAGAATAATACAGGTGACACACCACTTCATGAAGCAGCAGAACGGGATTCTCGAAAGTGTGTTGATGTGTTACTGAAGGCTGGAGCGTGTGTTAATGTACTGAATAATACAGGTGACACACCACTTCATGTAACAGCAGGGCGAGGATCAAGAAAATGTGTTGATATGTTACTGAAGGCTGGAGCTGATGTTAATGTACAGAATAATACAGGTGACACACCACTTCACAAGGCAGAAGCGGGACGGGCATCTAGAAAGTGTTTTGATGTGTTACTGAAGGCTGGAGCTCATGTTAATGTGCAGAATAATACAGGTGACACACCACTTCATAGAGCAGCAGGACGTGGATCTACAGAGTGTGTTGATATGTTACTGAAGGCTGGAGCTGATGTTAATGTACAGAATAATACAGGTGACACGCCACTTCACATTGCAGCAGAGTGGGGATCTACAGAGTGTTGATATGTTACTGAAGGCTGAAGCTCATGTTAATGTACGGAATAATACAGGTGACACACCACTTCACATTGCAGCACAACGGGATTCTCGAAAGTGTGTTGATGTGTTACTGAAGGCTGGAGCTGGTGTTAATGTACAGAATAATACAGGTGACACACCCCTTCATATAGCAGCACAACGGGATTCTCGAAAGTGTGTTGATGTGTTACTGAAGGCTGGAGCTGGTGTTAATGTACTGAGTAATACAGGTGACACACCACTTCATGTAACAGCAGGGCGAGGATCAAGAAAATGTGTTGTTATGTTACTGAAGGCTGGAGCTGATGTTAATGTACAGAATAATACAGGTGACACACCACTTCACATTGCAGCAGAGTGGGGATCTACAGAGTGTTTTGATGTGTTACTGAAGGCTGGAGCTGATGTTAATGTACAGAATAATACAGGTGACACACCACTTCACAGGGCAGCAGCGGGACGGGCATCTAGAAAGTGTTTTGATGTGTTACTGAAGGCTGGAGCTGATGTTAATGTACAGAATAATACAGGTGACACACCACTTCATAGAGCATTAGGGCGGGGATCTACAGAGTGTGTTGATGTGTTACTGAAGGCTGAAGCTCATGTTAATGTGCAGAATAATACAGGTGACACACCACTTCATTGAGCATCAGGGCGGGGATCTACAGAGTGTGTTGATATGTTACTGAAGGCTGAAGCTCATGTTAATGTACGGAATAATACAGGTGATACACCACTTCACATTGCAGCACAACGGGATTCTCGAAAGTGTGTTGATGTGTTACTGAAGGCTGGAGCGTGTGTTAATGTACTGAATAATACAGGTGACACACCACTTCATGTAACAGCAGGGCGAGGATCAAGAAAATGTGTTGATATGTTACTGAAGGCTGGAGCTGATGTTAATGTACAGAATACTAGTAATACAGGTGACACACCACTTCACAGGGCAGCAGCGGGACGGGCATCTAGAAAGTGTTTTGATGTGTTTCTTAAGGCTGGAGCTGATGTTAATGTACAGAATAATACAGGTGACACACCACTTCATAGGGCAGCAGCAGGGCGGGGATCTAGAAAGTGCGTTTATATGTTACTAAAGGCTGGAGCTGATGTACAGAATAATACAGGTGACACACCACTTCATACAGCAGCAGAACGTGGATCTACAGAATGTGTTGATGTACTACTGAAGGACGGAGCAGGTGTTAATGTTAAGAGTATGGAGGGGAACAGTGTACTGGTAGTGACAGGTTACCGGTGTATGGAGGGGAACAGTGTACTGGTTGTGACAGGTTAAAGGTGTATGGTGGGGACAATGTACTGATGGTAACAGGTTAACGATGTATGGTGGGGACAGTGTACTGGTTGTGATAGGTTCAAGGTGTATGGAGGTCACAGTGTATTGGTAATGACAGGTTAACGGTATATAGTAGGGACAGTGTACTGGTAGTGACAGGTTACCGGTGTGTGTAGGGGACAGTGTACTTATAGTGACAGGTTACCGGTGTATGGAGGGGACAGTGTACTGGTTGTGATAGGTTAAAGGTGTATGGAGGTGACAGTGTACTGGTGTTCAAATAACCTGTATCTCTTGTAGACATAACCTTCTTTTTATCCAAACTATATCATTTCATGCCCAAAATCATACATTTTTGGGGTATTGTAACACTATAAAATTATTGTCCTTTTGAGAAGGTACGTAAGTCCCAAAACATTCAAAGTAAATTTAAACTCTCCACTTTTTTAACCGTAGCATATGTGTATTTTTAATGGATGGCTAATTACATCTAAATTGCTAACAGCTCAATGGATGGTGTAAATCCATCTAGGGCCCTTGCAGGAAGCAAACGTACTGTACGTTCCCAAGGTCACTAGTATGGTGATCAACCTTCAGTTGCTGGTAATCTATAGCCAGCTTTCATATTGTATTGTACTACATAGTATATGATTTTAAGTTCAATGCTAGTTTTAAATCTCTAACTGTGATATGCTAGTTGTTTTACTGTCCTTTGGCGACAGATTTTATACTATAACATTATAATAAAGTAGTTACATTTGAACTGTTTTAGTCACGATATGGCTGAAATATTGCCAAAGTGACTTTATATTTTAACTCACTCACTCACTCAATTTGGTATTGTAACAGTTTCTAGTTTTTCGTTATGGATAATACAATCTGACATAACGTAAATTACACGTTCTGTCGACAATTGTTTGTTGCTTTCATTGCAATTTTGTATGGGTTTTTTTCATAAACAGTTCCTGGTTGCTTTCAGAACTTAACTACATTTGACTTGTGGTAGCGGTGGCCATCTTAGAGGCAGCTTTTATTGACGGGAACGTCACTCACCGACACCAAAAAAACGTACCCCCTGAAACATGTATGTCAATCCATACTAGGCATTTGTTTCAATGACGTGCTAGTTTTCAATACTTTACTTGTATATCATTGATGTATTTAAATTTTTTAAAAGTGCTTTTACCCTCATGAATCGCATCTTGCAAACTCAACGACTGCAATTGTCCACTCTCATTGGGAATGATTGCTTCATCACTTGAAGAATCCTCCACATCCAAATTGTCTGCATCTCAGATGCTGCCATCACTATCATAGCACCTGTCACAGTCAGTATCTTGAGCTGTGGGCCTCACCATCTTCTCCACCCTCTGCCTCATGTAAATCTTTCTGCTCATCATCTTTGACTTCCTGAGATTCCTGGGGCTGGAGAACCCTCCTTAGACTAATGATTAGTCCCTGAATATATATAATTTTGATAGTAAGAAATAAACCCATTTAAATTGAAAAGGAGCCCCAGTGAGACCAGAGATTCAGGAACCTGAACCTGAGGAAATATAGACTTGCTTCATTTAGGGCTTTAGCACTGCACTGAGGGCTAGGCATTAGGGAAAATAATGTGGTTCAGGAAACTGTGAAACAGACTAAACCCTCCGCAGTCGCCTGGGTTTGTCTTTCAACCAGTGGTGAATGGCTTCACTGGGGTCATACTCTGGCACTTCAGATTCTGAACAATGACGTTACTGCTTACGATTTAGATAGCTATTTGTAACAACGTGCATTTGACTATTTGTTTATGTTTTTGAGGACATGATCAGCTCCTAAATTATCACTAGCCAGGCAGGCCAGCTTCAGAAACTTTAGACAGGCCCGAGCAAAGGTCGACAAGCATTTTGCTAGCGGGCATGCAGTTATTTCGAACACTGGGCGTTTCTGTTGTAGGATGATGTTTCAGAAGCGTTCACAGTGAAGACCCTGATGACAAGTGTACAGGAAAGGATGTGTAAAGTTTTGAACAATATACTTGGGAGCTGAATATAGGCAGCATGGAAGAAGGACAGACGGATGACAGTGACACAGAGACTGGGTGGTGTACAGAACAGACAGTGATGGAGACACGTCATCAGGCATGGAGGATGCTGAAAAGAAGGATGTTTATGATGAGAGTTTGACGAATTCAGTGATGGCACAGACGAGGATGAAGAGGAAGGGATACGAGACATTTCACAACTTGGAGCAGGTGCTATAGGGGTAAATTTCCAGACTGTTCATCAACAGTCAAACCAACTTGTAGGTAAAAGTATGTTTTTCCTCCGGAAATAATGATAATAAGAGAGGCTTTCTTGATACATCACCAGCCACACCTAAATGGAAGGTATAATGATGTATGGCAGATAGTGATTACCACTCGATTATAATCATCAAGTCAACATCATATTATGCTCGCGATAATCGTGGGGTACAGTTAAGCACCAATGTTGATTTACACTCTCTATAAACCTACTGACAGACAAACCTAGGGTATTGTATATATCTTGCAATATCATTGTAACTTTGTGAAGGGTGGTATTTGCTGAGGAAGGTTTAATACTTGAGTCGTCGCTCCAAGTCCCTGTATTTCTTCTTCTTGGACGGACGCTTCTGGCCACCAGTGTACTGGATCAGCTTGTTTTCCGAGTTGGTCTGTTCTCGTGGCGGGGTGGTGGGGTAGCCTAGTGGTTAAAGCGTTTGCTCGTCACGCCGAAGACCCCGGTTCGAATCCCCACATGGGTACAATGTGTGAAGCCCATTTCTGGTGTCCCCCGCCGTGATTTTGCTGGAATATTGCTAAAAGCGGTGTAAAACCAAACTCAGTCAGTCAGTTATTGATATTTGATTTACGTAACTGTACTAAATAAAGAGTTCTCTCAGTCAATGGTGGAAGATGAATTGTTCCTAGCCTATTCCTGTTTTTTTAAAAAGCTCAATAACCTGTATATAGACAGATGGATACATATACTCTCATGAAGTTGGACATATGACTCTTGTAGGACGTGATGATGTCCTCTATCAAATTTGTGGGAGATGGGGGGTTTGTTCTTACAAGCTGGTGAAAAGACATTCACTTGCTGCTCAATAAGTCTAAAACTAAAGAGATGATTACTGACTTCAGAACAAGTAAGCCTGTGCATTTACCAGTCACTGTCCATGGGTCAATGTGGAAATTGTCAAGAACTACAAATATCTTGGTACAATAATTGATGACAAATTGAACTGAAATGATAACGCTGAACACAAAGCCGCATACAGCAATATTCCAACGGCGGTCTGTAAATAACTGAGCTTCGATCTATGGAATTGGGATACAATGGGTACGATCTTCAATGGTCCAAAATGTGTATACTCCATACCAGACCACTGATTCAGTTTATAAAATGTTTTCGACCTCAAGGGTCTCGTACCAAAACAAGAAACTTAAGGAAATAAATTACCGACTAAGAACACTTGACATTTTAAATGAAGTCGTTTCAATGATACAATGTGGATCTATTTCCATTTCTGAAGCTTCTCAGGTCCATGGAATACCCTAACAAACCATAAAAAAAGTGTCCCTGGCCAAAAACCAGTTCTCTCATCAGACGCGGGGCGGTGGGTGGCACAGTGGTTGAAGCGTTCGCTCGTCACGCCAAACACCGGCTTTCGGTAACCCATATGGGTACAATGCGTAAAGCCAATTTCAGGTGCCACGCAGTAGTATTGCTAAAAGCAGGGTCAAAATACTCACTCACACAACTTTCCCCACCTTTCCTTAACGTCCAGCAATATATATTCCTGCATCTCAAACCTTTGGCGTTCACATTTCACAAACTCTGCAGTAAAACTGACCCGGCTCGCCCTGTGATTATATAACACGATTCTTGTCCATGTTCTTTGTAGGACTGCAACACTCAAGGTCGCAGTAAAACGGTCGGAGGTTTTTGTTTTCTGTTTTTCTATTTGTAATCGTGACGTGAACTATATGTTTTCGTGTATTTTTTTAGTAACCTGATACATTCTGTGTCTAATTCCATAGCAAAAACATTTTTTGGAGGGTGGGAGGTGTCATATTTATTACTGGATAACACTTTTACTGCTGCTTAGAGGTCCTATAAGGTATGGACTTTTCTAGCATTTGACCTAGGACTATCAATTTTCCGGTGCGAAGCAGTGATATTGCGAGAATAATGCTTAAAGCATTTCACAAACTCTGTAGTACAACTGACCCGGCTCTCCCCATGAATATTTAACTATCATACGATTCTTGTCCCCGTTTTCTAAGGGCTGCAACACTCAGTAAAGTGGCAGTGGCAGTAAAAAGGTTGGATTTGTGTGTTTTCTATTTCTGAATGTGACGTGAGCTATATGTTTTCGTTTATGTTTTTGACTTTGGAAAACCATATCTTTCAGGCCTGAAATATGAGACAGTGCCAATGACGAAGGCATCGATAACACACGTTAGCTCCTGCCAGACGGTCTGCTTGTCTCTTCACGAACACAACCATTAGTGGTAGTTTATTACTTTTCTTCTGGAGATAGTATATATAAGTTGTAACAGTATAGGGCTTGTATGTATGTGTCGAAACTCTCTTACTACCCAGTTTTAGGTCTTTGAATGGCATTCAGAAGTGATACACATAAGGAAGAGAGTTTTTATGGATGTCAACTTCTTTATTATAAGGAACACAACGTTAAGTGTTGGCTTCAATTCAGCACTATTTTACTGTTGAGTGTTGGCTTCTATTCAGCACTGTTTAACTGTCGGCTTCTATTAGCCTTAACAGTTAAATAGTGCTGACTGAAGGCCAACACGTAACAGTTAAATAGTGAGAATAGAAGCCAACACTTAATAGTTAAATAGAGCTGAATTGAAGCCAACACTTCACAGTTAAATAGTGCTGAATAGAAGTCAGCACTTAACAGTTAAATAGTGAGAATAGAAGACAACACTTAATAGTTAAATAGAGCTGAATTGAAGCCAACACTTCACAGTTAAATAGTGAGAATAGAAGTCAGCACTTAACAGTTAAATAGTGCTGAATAGAAGCCAGCACTTAACAGTTAAAAAGTGCTGAATGGAAGCCAACACGTAACAGTTAAATAGTGAGAATTGAAGCCAACACTTAATAGTTAAATAGTGCTGAATTGAAGCCAACACTTCACAGTTAAATAGTGCTGAATTGAAGCCAACACTTCACAGTCAAATAGAGCTGAATAGAAGCCAACACTTCACAGTATAATAGGGCTGAATAGAAGCCAGCACTTAACAGTTAAATAGTGCTGAATTGAAGCCAACACTTCACAGTTAAATAGTGCTGAATTGAAGCCAACACTTCACAGTCAAATAGAGCTGAATAGAAGCCAACACTTCACAGTATAATAGGGCTGAATAGAAGCCAGCACTTAACAGTTAAATAGTGCTGAATTGAAGCCAACACTTCACAGTTAAATAGTGCTGAATAGAAGCCAGCACTTAACAGTTAAATAGTGAGAATAGAAGCCAACACTTAATAGTTAAATAGTGCTGAATTGAAGCCAACACTTCACAGTTAAATAGTGCTGAATAGAAGCCAGCACTTAACAGTTAAATAGTGAGAATAGAAGCCAACACTTAACAGTTAAAAAGTGCTGACTGGAAGCCAACACAGTTAAATAGTGTTGATAGGTGATGCACAGTGGACAGCTGGAAACCGGGATTACCTTAAACAAATAGACAAAGGGCTGATTGAGGTAGAGGGTAATAGCGCGAATAGATAAACGCAGTAGAGATTGACAAGCTGATCATTGTTTGATTGTTGTCTGTACTTACTGCTTTATAAATGTCGGTGCTAATTATTTTGTTCTGGCTTCCATTTGTTTGTTCTGACCTCAATTTGTCGAATCTTTATTCTCCATAGGAGCACCAAAGGTGATGTAAAAGGGAGAAACACGGTATAATAGATACAGTATGGTGAACAAGATCACAGTACATATAACTGATACAACAAACATGATAGAATGTATTGCAACAGGGGAAGAGAAAGGCTATGGTACCCTTGTTGCTATAATATTGATATATTTTGCAAGAGATTTCAGTTCTTTTCTTTTACTAGAAGAAAAGAGTATACTAATTTAAAAGAGTGGAAGCTAGCATTTTTGGTATGATTAATTGGTATGTCGGTACTAAAACGCATTAGTAAACATTAGCATCTTATTAAATTTTCAGACGCTTGTCTTCAGGCAATCAGACGTATGAAAAGCTACTTCTATCTGCAATTATTGAATTATATATTGATCCTGCTATTACAGAATTACAGCCTGAATTGGTCGCCATTATAATGATATCCACTTACTCAGCAATTGAGATCAAAGCCTGCAACCACAAACTACCTTTCAATGTATGGCTTTCACCAGTAAGGTCATACAAACATTAGATCCGTGTGGTATAAACATATTTTTATAACTATTTTATAAATATAAATGAATTTGGATTGGTGAACAAGCATTACTGCTTATGGTTTAAACATATTTATTTCATGAAAAAGCAATGAAGACAGAATTTTCATGAAATGGATTGGTCAACAAGCTCAAAAGAACTTATATGAAAACCGCTCCAATATACATAGATATATGAAACAGTATCATGACAAGAAAGGATGATATCTAAAATGAAAGTAGACGGTATGACATGTAGTCGGAAAATTAAAATCATGATGGTTATATACATTCATGGCATCTGCAGTCGGGATCCATAGTAGTATAAATTTGAGAATTATAGGTTTTAGGGTATGACTTGCTCAGTTAAAGCATTACTGCTTGTGTTAACACCGCTCCCATGCAACATATAATACAAAAGGAAATGGAGGATGAGATGTATTCGATACTGACTAGTGCATAAGTATAATATTTATAAATATGTATAAATGTTACATATGACATCAAATATAAATACAACTATTCTCATAGTAGTCATAATTAGAGAGTGACAGTTTTGTTTGTCTAACAAGCCATTGTAAAAATACACATGAGTGAGTGAGAAGGTTCATTTAATTTTTTTCCTGAGAAAATTTGAAGCGTTGTGTCTTGATAATATAATCGCAGACTCAACTATTTTCTGGTTTACACGAGGAGTAAATTCTTTGTTTCCGTTCAGAATGGTATCCATGTTATAATTAGTAGTGTAAAAAAACATATTACATCTTATATGAGTATAGTTACTGCGAGAAAGAAAATAGTGTAGGGCGTTTTCACTCTGATATCCCCAAGAGCAACATGGACTGCCTATTAAATGTCTATTATGCTTATCGGCGTTTAGGTCGCTACATCCGACCCTGGGACGGTTATGGGCGATTTGACAAAAACGGGTGCCATAATTAAGATAAAACAATTCTTATTTTTGGTTTTTGTAAATAGACATTCATTAAATTCTGCGAGAATACATGACTCTTTGGAATTTGGTAGGGCATTCCATGAATTTATTGTGTAGGGCAAAATGCATTTTGCATAAGAGGCAGTTCGACTCTAAATTCCTTGTATTTCAGAGTTACTTCTTAAATTATAGCTTGTAGTTCCGGAAACTAAGTTTGGGATCAGGTAACAGAGAAATTTCAAAATTGGTTATTGGTTTTTGTACATCTTCAAGCAAAAGGTTTCAAGCAGTACCTTATATCTTGCATTAGATCCGGGTTAGAATTGTACTTCAGTACCCCATGCTTGTCGTAAGAGGCGATTAGTGGGATCGGGTGGTCAGGCTCGCTAGCTTGGTTGACACATGTCATCGTATCCCAATTGTGTAGACCTATGCTCATGCTGTTGATTTCTGGTCCAGACTCGATAACTTACAGACCGCCGCTATATAGCTTGAATATTGCTAAGTGCAGAGCAAAACTAAATTCACTCACTCATACAAACACTGATCCTGCACTGAAGTCCTATAGAAAACACACCAACCATTTAAATGAAGAACCATGTGAACAATAATTTCAGATAATAACCACATACAACAAGGAACTAAAATCTACACAGAGGGAATCCCAACTTGAATATTTAAACACAAAGCCAATCTAAGTCAGTTTGTCACCAAGGAATAAAACATATGTCATCTGAAAGATATGTTCTTGAAATATATTGACCCGTGAAGATTCGGGTTAGACCTGATCCCCAGTAACCAATGATTGTCGTACGAGGCGACTAACGGGATCGGGTGGCTAGGTTCGCTGACTTGGTTGACACATGTCATTGTATTTCAATTGCGTAGATCGATGCTCGTGCTTGTTAATCACTGGATTATCTGGTCCAGACTTGATTATTTACAGACCGCCGCTATATCGCTGAAATATTGCTTAGTGCAGCGTAAAACTAAATTCACTCACCACATACAATATATATATATATATATACAGATGTTGTTGGTACGTTTGATAAATAGATATATATATATATACAGATGTTGTTGGTACGTTGCATGCTCAGCAGCCTGAGACTAAACTTAACTTAATGATAGAACATTCGAGCTTGTTGTATGACTTCCACTCTTAATACCAAACTTCACAATCATTGCCCTTGAATTCACCAGTCTGGCAAAGTACATAGGGCAACCTTGAAACAACGGGTAGCCATGGTGATCGTTACTGTCGTTATGCTGGTGGTACTGCCCGCAGACCGTTTCATGGACTGAAATTTCAGTCACATATTGACTTTGAAATCTAACATTTTGTCCGTGGTTTCTTCTTGCTCGACGTTTCCCTTCATTGAATTAAATGTTAATATCTCATAAGTAATATTTCAGCCATATCGTGAGAAAGTTGTTTCGGCAAATAGATAATACATGTATATAAACTATAGTAGTTTTACTTAAATAAATATGTTGAGATATGATTCTCAGTCTTAGTGTCTCTTCGGTACTGTGTGAGACCTCTTTACCCTGCAATACACGAATGAATGCGCCAAGGTACACTACCGATCACAGTTTGTCGGAAATCGTGTGACAGCTATCCCATTTCTTTCTTCATATCCTCAATAGTTCTAAGTCCTTTTGGGTTTATTCTGTCCTTTATTCTGTCCACACATTCTAAATAGGGTTAAGACCTGTTTTTGCAGGTCCTTATGGCCGACAGCTTTTTGACCCCAAAAAATAAGAGTATCATTTTTCAGAAAAAAAATCATTCAGTAATTTCTAGTTTTTATCTCGATAAGCAGTTGTTGTCTTTAAGTGGAACGACTATCATTTTCGAGGAAGCAATTTAGATGATTGAGATTTTAAACTCTTTAACTCAGTTTGTTAGTTGTCACAATGTTTGTTCGCTGGGAATTACTTATATCGCAGCTAAAATATAGGACCTACACATTCTGATTAGGATCCACGACTTTCTATGCTTCTGGGTCATTAGGGCCTACAGCATTTCAGGATTAAGGGCAAACACTGGACTAATGTCGCCTCCTCTACTCTATTTCAGGAGTGAGTGAATAAATATTTAACGTCACACCGGCAATATTTCAGCCATATCGTGACGAGAACATATTTGACATTGAAGTGGAATATATGTACATTATAAAAACCTGTCCACGAAGGACAGTAAAACAACTAGAATATCACAAGTAGAATTAAACCCAGAGTCCGGAATGTTAAAACTAATAGCACTTGTAGGAGAATACAAGATAAAAACAGGCTATAGATCGCCAACAACTGAAGGTAGATCACTATACTAGGGACCATTTGCTACCTGCATGGACCCTAGCTGGGTTTACACCATCCCTTCAGCCGCAGGCGATTGTGTAAGTTTTAGCTATTATGAAAAATAACAAGTATTCTACGATTAAAAGTTTGGTAGTGCTAAACTGACTTTGAATTTTTAGACTTACGTACCCTCTCAGGAGGACAATAATTTTACGCTACTTCAAACCCCTTAGAGGGCACCGCCACTAACAATCACAGTTGCTAATTTATACTACCATGTTTTAAATACTAATTATCTATTTACAAAACATATTCAAACTTTATCTAGTAATTCTATTTTTTTTATAATTCAATGATTAAATGCTAATTTACATTAAAAAGATCTTTCACTGTTTTAACATTAAAATATTTATCCCTTGTGATGGAAAAATCAATACAGTCAAGCAGGACATGCTTGGCCGTGATTCTTTCACCACAAGGGATACAAAACGGAGGATCCTCACCTTTAAGCAAATATTCATGTGCATATCTTGTGTGGATGACACACAGTGATGACATCCTCAAATCTGGACTGACAAGAACAGGTAGGTGTAACCAGTATAGGGTTTTATTTCATGTAATTTATTGATACCTACTTGGGTGTCCCACTTCTTCTGCATCAGATCACGGTGAGGTGAGGTGAAATTGGGTTTAACGTCGTGCTTGAGAATATTTCGCTCATATGACGACGTGCATGCGTGTGTATGTGTATGTGCGGTTGCGTGTACTAGCCCAGATTGAAGCTGGTTTTATATTGCTAGCCCACTGAGATACCATGCCGCAGTGAAGCATGAATACCCCACTCAGACACATTATACTGACTCCGAGCCGACCAGTCCTTGTTGTACCCATTAATGCCGAGCGCCAGGCAGGGCCCAACAAGTACCATATTTTAAAGTCTTTTGGTATGACGCGGTCGGGGATCGAACCCGCGAC